TGTAGACACACTCCACGTTGGAGACATTCATCATCAAGTATCGGAAAGCGTCCAGGATCAAAAGGATGACTGTGATGGATCTACCAGTTACCAGGGTGAATTCATGTTTTTTTTCACATGAAGATTAAGATTTATGATGAATGTCTGTTTTTTATTAATTTTAATATAATTGATTTTATAATAATTATATCAAGAAGATATCAAAATATCTTTTTCTTTAAAAAAACTTTAGTTTACAAAAAGTAATGTTTTGTCGCCATTCATTGTTTGATACGTGAGAAATTTCTTTCTTTCTTGATCCTAAACATATAAGAATAAGTAACGATTTAGAGTATTAAAAATCATTTATGTTCTTAATGAAGCTTCAAGAAAAACAAGTCTAGAACTTTTGTTTTTGCATTGTGTTCATAGTTCAATACGGGGTCATAATGAATGAATCTTATCTGTTTCAGAGATTGAAGTGGAAGCCAATATTGAGCCTATAAATAAACCCGTGACATCAGGAGAAGATGGGGCCGGTGCTAGTGAAACGGATCCTAGGATTCTGCAGCACCTTCAGAAAGTGTTCTCGAACTGTCACAACCCGAGAAAATGGGAAAAGAACCAACAAATGTGCCTCGAATTAGTGTCCCTGTTTGGGCATCAAGGTAACGCTTTTCTCAAAGAGGTTGGGTTTGACTCTGTGCACTTTTTCGTTCGTGTCAAACTCGGACCCGATCATGATGCCTTTCTTCGAGCCTGTACAGATGGCACACTCTCGCGAGGCTTGACAAAGCTCCTCGTTACTCCAGAACTGAAGGAAGCCGCTGGAGTCAAACTCAGACTAAGGCTGGACGTGAAAGAGACATCAAACACGAATAACGTCTCGGCACCAGCAGGTTAGTATCACAGAATGGGTTCGATGGAGGAGGGGGGTGGGGGGGGGGGGGGCAAATGTAAGTAGTACATGATAATGAACGAAATAAGAGGCCGTTGTTCTGCAAGATTTGTTTGAGACTGATTTTCGAGGAAAAAAATTGTTTCAATGTGTTTTGAATACATCAATGTAATTATAAATGTTCATATAATTGCCCATTCTTACCTATACTGTAAATTTATAGAGGTTTAATTGACAAATATTTATTTCTCCAAGATTCTGAGAGGTAGTAAAACACTTAATATCCCAATACACCGAAACACATGTGCTACCCCATTTCAATTTTACTTTTCTTGTTGTATTTTGTTGATTAGTAGGTGACTTGTGTTTATCATGTCCTCCAATATAATTTAGACAAACTTATTAAAGGCGCCGAAGCTTTTCATTCAGACATAATTCATAGCCGCTAAAATTAATTTACATGATAACATCAAGGTACGATAATCCCGAATTCTAATTTTCAATACTGCAATGTGTCCTGAAATATAAACAAATCAGGCCAATTTGTTTTTCTCAAAAGAAAACTAGCCTGTCCAAATTTCTGTTTATATTCCCTTTCATAGGACATAATTTTTTTTAGATAACACCCTTCTTTCATTTTACAGAACCTGGAACAGTTCATCATAGAGGAGGGGCTCAAACTTGCATTGCCTCTGGAAGCTCAAAGGTCGAAGGCACAACAATGACTGAGTCAATGACAACTGGGACCATCTACAATCATCCAGCCGAGTAAGAAAAGGGGTGTGAAGATATGTTCTTATTATGACTCAAATAGAAATAATCCTCTTTAGGCAAAATAAAAGGAATATAATATCTAAGGAAATTTTTCTCGGAAAATACAGGAACTAAGAAATTGGTCAATTGAAATGGTACTAAGGATCAGTGGCATAGAATTAGTCTACTTATTGAAATCACTGATTTTATAGTAGGCACTGTTAATACAAGGTGTGTGAAATAAATACGATAGAATAATGCTTTTGGGTGAGGGGGACAATTCATCTCGTTTTTAAATTTCTTGCCCAGCCTTTATGCCCTCTTTAGGGAAATAATTTTTTAGGATGGAGAGTGGCAAATGTAGATCAATTTCTTGCCAAAGGACATTGTGTTAGTATTTTTTTTTATATTTTCAATATGTTTCAATTTATTTTTGTCTTTCTTTTCTTCTTATATAGGGCATCTACACGTCAAAGTCAAGGTAGAAAAAGGAAGGCTGCTGTATCCTCTGATGACAACAAATGGGAGAAAATGGGCGGTAAAAGATAATTTATTTGTCTTGATAATTACAAATAAGAGGACACTTTTTTTTTTTTTTGGTCTCGAAATTTGAAAATTTGACATTTTGCTCCGTTGGGGGGGGGGGGGGGGGGGGGGGGGGGGTAAGGTCACCTTTCTTAGGTCAGCCATGGGCGTAATTTTTTTTTTTTTTTTTTTTTTTTTTTAATAATTTAAAAAAAAAAAAAAAAAATCCAAAGGGGGGGGGGGGGGGGGTTTTAGGGATTTTTTAGGGGGGTTTACACACATAAAAATACCAAAGGGGGGGGGATTAACCCCCCAAACACCCCCCCTGCGTACGCGCCTGAGTAGTAGACATTAATCAGTCCTGACGACAGATACTCAACCTGTTCGACACGTCGAGCCACTCCCGCCAAGCCACTCCCGCCACTCATCCTCTCCAAGCGTTATAGTTCTACTTAGAACTATAAGCTAAGAAAGTAACCAACAGTCTTTTTCAAGACTATACCGACAGTCCTTTTCAGGACTACAAACCCTCAAGAAAGATTGCTGAGAGTCCTTTTCAGGACTCCTCAATCCACCCCTCTCTCTCTCTCTCACATGGTGCACCCGCAATCCTACTGTAGACTTAATTGTTAGTACTACTACTACTACTTCTATTTCCATCAACGAGATCAGCTTACCGAGAAATAAACTGTTTTGGGTTCTCTCCAATATGTTTTTTTCAAAAAACATTACAGAATGAATAGGCTTCAATTGTCACATTATTTATACTAAAACCACCAAGCTAGTTAGAATACAGTGGCACCAAGCAACTTCAAAACGGGTGTCTTAAAGTGACTCGGTAACATTGTTGAAGGTTGATGACAAAATGTAATTTTTGTATGAAATGTTACTTATTTTATTTATTTCACTGTACTTACTATCTAACTGGCAAAAAATCCTGAAAAAAAATTCTCAAACCACAAAGATATTTATGGTTTTCTTTGGAGGCATCACTGTACAACACCTTCTAACAGTGATTAACAGTAAATTCTCCAAACCATTTTTGAATTTTCCCATCCGTTTTCCCATGAAAGTAATTAGACCTAAAACAGGCTTTTTTTTAAATCTGTCAACACTTAAAAGTCTGGAATGGTATATAGACCCACTTCATTGCTTTGTGACGATTTAAATTCACCTACATGTAAATAAATTGTAATGATATAGTTGGGAGAATTAATGAAGAAATTAGATCAGTTTCCCAAATTGTTATCATTAATAATGGTCCGTTTTCACTCAAACTTTCAGATTATCTTTAATTGTACATCTAGCATTGAAGTCACTACCTTCATCTGAACAATGTTTAAGTTCATTTAATCAATGCAATTGCATACCACACTCACACTGTCGCAGAGCGTAGACAACAAAATGCCTTATAATTTGTATTCCCTGGCTTGTCGTTCTATATTACGAATATTAGTTTCGTTGGCTGTACACAGTAAATTCCAGCATTTTTAATACAATATAACTTGGCACATCAACAAGGCCATGTTATTGAGCTAGATCACAGTGGTTTGTTTGCTCAATAACAATGCAAGCAACTGAAGCAAGTCGTATTATATCAATGTAATATCTGATTGAAAGGACTGTATTTTGCCGTCTGAACGTCTGGCATGCATTAGGCAGAATATGTTACAGGATGAGTAAATATAAAGACACAATTTTTGCTGCAAAGTGAATGTTAAAAAAACCTTCAAAACCGCATACCTGTTAACAATTCAGGGTGACTATGACCAACTAAGCTATCAGAACAGTCGTGCCAATGTTACGTGTTAGTTATTGTATACGTGCTATCATAATACGCAGTATAAAACACACTAAGACATGAAGGTACAAATTTGCACCCTTACCCAAAGTGAGGTGCAGATTTTCAAACTTGCACTCCAGAGGGAGCATACCTGCACCCCTAGGGGTGCAGAAATTTGATAAAAAACAGCACCCCATAGGGTGCAATGCTTCACCCTACTTTGGGGTGCAAACTCGATCGCCACCCTAGATGGGGCAGATGTGCACCCTTAGGATGACACGTGGAGTCCGCTTGCGTCATTCTTTAACCTAGGCAAGCCATCCTAGTAATTAATCAAAGCGCTTTGCCGGAAAGAGTTCACCACCAATTAGACTTTTATTATTTGTTGGTTTGCCTCACTACTTATAAAAAGGCAAAAATCTGAAGGAACAACATCTGGGATTCGAACCCACGACTCTAGGATTATCGTTAGCTGACCTTACCGATTGAGCCAACGATGGGTTAAAATAATTTAGGATGGCTGGTCTACTTTTAAAAGAGACGCAGCCCGCTTATTCAGAGGGATTGATAGCCTGTATAAAAGATGGACTGACTTAAAAACAAATTCAAGGGATATTGAGCTCATTGCTTTTTGTATAGTTATATTATGAACAACTTAAATCAATTTATCTTTGAACATGCCTAATCTTGTTCGTCATCTTACAAGTACTTTCCCTTTGAAATTCATTGTCTTCTGAACTATCAGAGTAATTCACCCCAAATCAACTCAAAGTATAATTGACTACCATTTATATTCTTGAAATTTTCCGATATCACATCCACAACAACACTCCACTTGCAGCCACAACTTTCCCCATGCAATTCATATCATGATACTATACAGAACAAAAAGAACTATAGTCACAATGCCCACTTTCTTAAAGACGATATTATGATGTGTTTACTTGTAACAAGTGCTGCTTGTTGTAAGATGATGACGATAATGATGGTGATTATGATGATGATGATGCGTATGTATGTAATAATGATAGATAACTCCCTTCTTTCATTTTCCAGAACCTGTATCAGTTCGTCAGAGGGGAGGTGGTAGAACTAGGTCAAAGGTCAAAGGCAAGACAATGACTGGGTCAGTGACACCTGAGACCATCCGCAATCATCCAGCTGAGTAAGAAAACGGGGTTTTAAGATATGTTCTCATTATGACTTAAATGGAAATAACTCTCTTTATAGGCAAAATAAAAGGAATATATATCTAAGGAAATTATTTCCCCCCCCCCTAAAATATAGAAACTAAGAAATAAGCCATTTGAAATGGTAAGGATCAGTGTCGTAGCATTAGTTTAGCTATTTTAAAACAAGGTGGGTGAAATACGAAAGAACAATGCTTTTGGGTGAGGGGGACGATTCATCTCGTTTTCAAATTTCCTTGCCCAGCCTATATGCCCTCTTTGGGGAAATAATTTACTCTTTTTTTGATGGAAGGCACACGTGGGCACATGCCCTCAATATAACTACGCCACTGATTGAGGCATTAGTATAATCATTAGTTATTAGCTGAATCACGTTATTGTTGTGAAAGGAAGGCAAGTGGAGTATTTTTTTTTTTTTTTGGGGGGGGGGGGTTGTTTTATTTTCATATTTCTTCTATTTTTAATATGTTTCAATTTAATTTTGTCTTTCTTTTCTTCTAATAAAGGGCATCTACTAGTCAAAATCAAGGTAGAAAAAGGAAGGTTGCTGTATCCTCTGGTGGCGAGAAAAGGGCGAAAATAGGCGGTAAAAGATGATTTATTTGTCTTGATAATTACAATTATGTATCATTCTTTTCTGGTAGAAAGCTTCTCGTGTAGACTATTTCTTGTATAGTAGTATTATTAGTAGTGAAAGTAGTAGCAGTAGTAGTAATAGAATAGTAGTAGTATTAGTAGTAACAGTAATAATAATTATATTAGTAGTAGTAGTAGTAGTAGTAGTAGTAGTAGTAGACATGAATAGTACCAAGTACCAACGAAGAAATAAGATCAATTTTTGCCATGTAGGCTTCAATAGCTAGTACTGTCTTTTGCTGCAATTATAAATTAGATCGTCACTTCTCGGGGTCAATCGAATCAGGGCCCAACATCAACTGACCTTTTTAAACACAAAGTTGAGATATAATAATAATAATAATAATAATAATAATAATAATAATAATAATAATAATAATAATAATAATAATAATAATATTAATAATAAATGTATAGCGCCAAATCTACTCTGTTTGCAACTTTAGGAATCACAAGGGAACCGGAAGTGGATGAGCGTAAAGATCTCGCGGGGGTGTAATTTTGGATTAAAGAAATATTGTATGGGGGAGCAGAACCGTGAATTTTCACAGTTCTGCTCCCCAAATGCAATATTTCTTTAATCCAAAATTACACCCCCGCGAGATCTTTACGCTTATGATACTAATTTGTAAGCGCCTTGAGCTTCCCCTGGGATTGATGATTGCGCAATATAAATGTGTAGCTATCATCATTATTATCATCATTATGATTATTATTGTTGTTGTTTTTGCTATTAAACCAATATTATATCATGTTTTTAGAACGCTTCGGCCCAACTCCACCGTCTCTCCTGGACTTCTTGAAGAAAGTCCTTAGAGAATACACAGATGGACAAATAATGAAGGTAAGCATAACAAAAAAATTACGTATATTATAACTTCCCTTTAGTCATTTTTATTCTAATTTAGTAACTGATACAGTTCCAATTATATACAACCCATGAAACATTGCGCATATCAGCATCAGCATCAGTATACGGCAGTGTGAGGTGATCCTGTTGAAACTGTTGAAACTGTTGAAACTGTTGAAACTTCCTTATGTTTTTTTGCATATGTTGTTAGGATCGTCTGTCAATTATCCTCTTCATGAGTGAAACTCTTTTCGTAATTTTGCTTATTTCAGATCACTTACACCAAGGTGATAATCAAACCGTTAGTCGAACGTGGCCAGGGACATGGCATGTCCCTCAGCGTAGTCATTGGCTGACACTTTTCCATTTCTTGATTAAGAAGTTACACCCATTACTATCCAATCAATTTACTTTAATGATTATATTATTACAATATACGGTATTCATGGTATTCGTTGAAAACTATGATAGCAACATATTATTTAGGTTTCAATTGACTATTCTTACCAAATGTATTTTCGTTCCGAGATTATTACCCGATCTTCCTAGAAGAAAAGTACACTGTCGTCAATAAATGACAGAATTTTATAACGATTAATATGAAATTTATCTGATGTAAATTTGATTTTAATTATAGTCATAATTGTTTTCAATGATGATATATTCTTTAAAAAAGGAAATCGTCCAGAATGCCGAGGACGCTGGTGCCAAGACGGTTCGATTTCTGTACGACTGCCGCGAACACGGAACGAGTCGCCTTCTTTCCCCTACTCTCGCCCCTTATCAAGGCCGGGCTCTGTACGCTTATAACGACGCTCTCTTCAAGGAGCGAGACTGGGCTGGGATCCAGTCACCAGCTCGAAGCAACAAGGAAGATAACCCGCTGAAAGTTGGACGATTCGGCATCGGATTTAGCTCCGTCTACCACCTCACCGGTAGGATGTTCATTCTCTTTTGTGAGGAGGGGAGGGGTAATTCACCCGAATCTATTATCCAGTCGACACTCTCACCTTCCCCCAAAAAACTTAGTTTCTCACCACTTAAAATGGTCTTCGACAACCAACGATCTTGAGATGTTCATCTGGAGTCACATGACATTTGAAAATAAACTGACATCCACTTCGGAATATCAAAATATAATGTTAATTTATTATAGGCGTAATGGAGAACCGAAATTATATTTGATTTGATTTGGCTTTTTGCAATTTCATGCTGTCAAACAAACATCTTCGGAAAGTGTATGTGACATTGATAAATCTTTTGACACAATCATAAATAAATAGAATATGTAAGAAATTAAATCACATATTGAATACATAATGAGAATGAATTAGAGAAAGAAAACGCGACATTATACAACTTAACATTTAGACAAACAACATGATTCTGCATTTCCAAGTTTTTACAAGAAGATAATTTTGAAACAGAAAGGGATAAACATGGCTGTAAATTTAATCCATATTGTTGAATAGTGAAAGTTCTATGATGACAGTGAAATTTACTCTGCATCGGAAGCTAGTTTCTTTCGTTCTATCATAGATATATGTCATCAACATGCATTCCGCTAATTCCGAATAAAACCTACGAAATGGAGAAGGCGTTTAATAAATACACACTCTTTACCATTACAAGATTATAATGATCGGCAGTATCATGATTTACTCTATAACCATTACCAATCGCGTTCTTATCACATTGAATATTCAGTGTCAATGATATATAAGAAGTAACTACTACACACCAACTATTCCTGCCGATGATTCTTTATGTCCTTTCCACGGAAGCTCAACTAAAACATTCACGCTGTCACACTTAACGCCTCTAACCAACCGTACAAATTCAACCAACCTGACAATTCTGACCACAAAAGGCCCAATATAATCTTCAGCTAGAAAATGCATTTTAGCAGTCGTTCCAGACCCTAGATTAATTCACAATCCGTAACAATGTCCTTATTTCTTACGTCAATGTTCTGTTCTCTCCCCTAGATTTGCCAAGCATCCTCAGCGGAGAAACGCTTGCTTTCATTGATCCTCATGAGCGTCACTTCGGACGTGGAGAAACAGGAATCAAAGTGAATGTGATCCAGCATGCCCATATCTTAAATTCACCAGAATTTGTGGATCAATTTACTCCGTACAACAACCTGTTCCCTGGAATGAATTACGCCATCAGTGGTGGTCAACCCTTTCATGGAACGGTGTTTCGATTCCCTGTACGGCAAGAGGGCAGCGAACTCTGTGAAAATGAGTACGATGACGCCGCTATGGTACGGCTCCTGGAATCCTTCGTCGACGATGCTGACGTCGTACTGCTGTTTCTTCGATCACTGGAGACAATCGACATCAGCAGAAGGATAGGTCGGGCTCAAACTCAGATCAGATCCAGAGTAGAGATATGCCCCAAATCTCTTGCGTTGATGAAGTCCGAACGAGAGAGCTTCTCCCATGCACTAGAAGGAAACAGTAAGATGAGAATCGGACAAAGAACGCGAGCCTGTTTGACTCATCAGCTAACATTGACGATGCAGGTCGCAGAGTCCAAACGTCGTATGGATTGGATCGTAAGTCAGGTTGTGGGAGGCAGTGAGATGACTGACGATGTAGTGAGTATCATTGACAAGAGCGGATACATACCTTGGGTCGGTGTGGCCATGCCTTACAACATGCCGCATAAAAGACGAGACGATTTCAGCGGTCGAGTGTTCTGTTTCCTCCCTTTGCCTCCCGGTGATGAGAGCTTGACAGGACTTCCAGTTCATATCCACGGTTTCTTCGGTGTTAACAGCGACAGAAGATCAATCAAGTGGCCGGGTGCTGACCGGGTGCAAGGGGATATCGATGCGAAATGGAACCGCTTACTGGTGACACAACTCCTACCAGATGCATACATGAACATGCTGAATTTTGCCATCAAAGAGCAGAGGTTGCCTCCCGATGAAATCTACAGAGCTTGGCCAGTCCCAGATCAGGTCAGACCACAGTGGGAACTGCTTCTTAAACCAATTTACCAATTGCTGAGCAAACATACAGTCATCTACACAACGAAGGGCAATGAGATGGGTTCATGGGTAAAAATCCAGGATGCTGTCTTCAACTTCTTGACTGATGTAGACGAGAACACAGAACGGATCCTCTTGACTGTCCTCAAAGCGGCTAATGTCCCTGTAGCTGAAGTACCTCAACACATCAAGAAAATCATCCAAAGCAAAGACTACATCAACTTCAACGCCAAAGTGATTTCACCTGAAGTCATCATCGATTGCATTCACAAGAGCCAACATGGAGTCTTGGATACCCTGAGCAGCGATAACAAACTGGTGTTACTAGAGTACATCATGACCAGGACGAAGACCCCTCAACTGATCGGTTTAAGGCTTCTGCCTTTAGCCAACGGCGACTTTGTGCCATTCGCCACAAGATCTGCCTCAACGCGGACTGTCTTCATACCCACCAGGGAACTTGACCAGAGCATGTGCTACAACATGGGTAACAGTCTCATCCTGCCAAACCTTAACGCGGACTTGCTTAAACTCCTGAAAAAAGCTGGTAAGAAAATGTTGTTTTGGGTGTGCCTTTTGTCCTGAGTTATGTCTCAGTATAGTCGTGCATGTAACTCAATCAGTTTTTATATCAGCATTCCATTAGCATATGTGTGTAATTAAGCATTTTCACAAATACAAGGAAATGTAGATTATGAAAGACAAATGGAATTGTTTATTTAGAAAATGAGACTACGTTTGATCCAATTGATTTTTTGTGTGAAACGATATGGACCTATTACTCGACTAGCAGTCTTACAAACATTCATCAAAATGACTAATATTCGCTTTCCATGATCAGATTCTTAGTTTTTGGTATTTTTCACAACCTTTATTTTTTTCTTCTCTTTTCCACGACTTTCTTTTTCTTTAAAGCTGAACATGGGTCTGTCCAGTTGCAAATGATGTCGGATAAAAGTCTAGCACAGTTAATTCGGGACGCCCTTCCAAAAGAATGGTTCGTGAGAGACCACGGAAGTACTGTACTCTGGCATCCTGGTAAAGGCAACCAACCTCCACGCGAATGGCTAAAAGGTATTTGGAACCTACTGAATACATGTAAACGTAACTCAATTGAGAATTATGTAGACCTTCCACTAATACAGGTTGAAGAGCGAAAATCTGGTAAAGTAGTCCTTGCTTTCCTTAAACAAAATTCAACATGCATCAGTCAGAGTTATGGCTCAGACAAGTTTGATCGTCAAGAGGAGGTGGTTCTTACCAAGCTTAGCCTCCTCGTCTGTTCTTGTCCTACATTCATAGACACTGCTCTGCTCATAGGTGGCAGTTACCTCAGAAGTCCGTCGAGGAAGGGTGTAATTGGAGCACTGACAGCAGTACCAGATCCAAAAGCGCTACAGAACACTATCAAGAGTCTTTCCAAGAAGGAGAGACAAGTATTGGTAAGATTCTTCACCAGCTGTTCTCTCACCGATGCAGAAAGAAATTTCCTTCGTCAAATTCCCCTCTTCGATACCATTCCAAGAACTCCATCAGGCCGAGGTAGAGTTGTGTCTGCAGGTGACGTCAGTCTTGCTTTTTGTCGGACTTCTACAGACCGATTGCCGAAGCATCACCTTCCGGAGTATGATATGATTTGCTGCAATGACGACGCCATTCTGAAACTCTTTTCAGATTTAGAGATGATTGAGAAACAAAGGAAGGAGTTGTTGAAAGACATTGTCGATGCTATTTGCAGTGGTGTCAGTGACAAGACCGTTCTTGAGGATGTAGGAATGTGGTTATTGCGTGATTTGAAATCTTTCAAACAAGATATTGGCGACCATCTGTTAAAGCTTAAGTCACAACGATTCATCCTTACCGGTGCGGGTGAGCTCAAGTCCCCTGACAGTCTCTTTGACCCAGAAGACCGGTACATGCCTGTGCTCTTCAGCAAAGGTTCCTTTCCATATGCGAGATATGTAGATGAAGGGCTCTTGGGATCATTACGAGAGCTTGGTTTTCGTCATCAAAGTAATGTCACAGCAATTGAATTAGCTAGGTCAGTTGACGAGATAACCAGCGTCAAGAAAGCAGATGTCTTGATGACATTCTTGGGAAAATATCCAAACAAGCTAAAGGAACCTTTGACCGGAGAAAGTGATCAAACTTTACAGCAGTTCTTGGCAGACAAAAGATGCATCCCATGTCTTATGAAGATTCCTGATTTCTACCCTCAAGGCATTCAATGGCACAGGTCAGAGAGAAAAATGATCAGTCCGACCGAAACTGTGCTTCCTACCAAGGTTAACATACTAGCTTCCGGTGCAACCATACCCTTTCCCAAGAAGACTGTTCCAAATACCCTCCTGTGTAATCTAGGAGTTAAAGAACATCCCAACATCAACAATACCCTTGAACAGATGGCTGTAGTTACGAGATGTCATGGCAAAGTCGGAACCTCTGATAGATCAAGGAAACTGGAGAAGATGGTTCATGGTGTGTACAGCTTGCTTTCAACGGCAAGAAAGGAAGAGGAAGTGATACTGAAGCTGACAACACAGTTACCTGCATGTATTTGGACTGGAACAGGATTTGTGGAAATTCATCGGGCAATCCTGTCAAGCCGTGAAAATGCTTTTCACCCTTACATTTCTTCCATACCTCAAGAATTCAGTACCAAGTATGAACACCTTTTCCTAGCTCTTGGAGTCAAGAAATGTATATCAAAAACGCAGGTTCATGAGATCATCATACAGATTCAGAAGAGCGAGCCAAAGTTGGGTTCTGTGGAAAAGCGGATGGAATTCTGCAGAGAAAACAAACGTGTAGTGCAAAAGGCACTGATACTCCTAGACGAGATATGCGAAGGTGATCTTTCCCAGGAGTCCCAAAACATTCTGGTACCAACCAACAAAGAAAACTTCCTGGAATTGGTTGACCCTAAGTGCTGTGTTTTTGAAGACGTCAAGGGTCGCGGGGATTCAGATGAAGTTCAAGAGAAGCTAAATGAAGACAACATCTTCATCGTTGATGGGACATTGCCTATTGGCATTGTTCGCGCTTTGGGAATTCTACCCCTTGGCCAGAAGATTCTTGCTGCCGAAGAATTGACTGGGATAGAACAAGCAGGTCAGTATGAACCACTTACCACAAGACTGAAGAACATCATTAAAGATAGCTACCTGGAGAGTTCAATCCCGAAAGAAATGATTCAAAATGCGGAAGACGCGGGAGGAACAAAGGTACACTTCATGTTGGATCTTCGGCAAAATTCAGAAGCACGTTCAAGCTTGTTTGACAAGGGCATGGGTGATTGTCAAGGGCCAGCTTTGTGGGTGTACAATGATGCATCTTTTACACCCGATGATTTTCAGAACATCACAAAGCTTGGCGGTGCAACGAAAGAACTTGACACGTCTAAGATTGGGCGCTTTGGGCTTGGCTTTAACTCTGTTTACCATCTGACAGATGTACCCAGCTTCCTGAGTAGACAGTACTTGCAGGTTTTTGATCCACATGCGACTCATCTTGCATCCATGCTAAAAAGCAAAGAAAGTCCTGGTATCAGGATAAATCTGCAAGGGAACAACAACGCCATTTCCATGTTCAAAGACCAATTTGCGCCATACGAAGGTGTTTTCAAATGTAGTCTGCAAGAAAGCAATGGGAATGTTTGCTACGATGGCACACTATTCCGGTTGCCTCTTCGCTCTAGACATGCGGCATTGAGAGGTGAGATCTCTGAAGAACATTACGATGAAGATAAGTGCAAATCACTACTCACTGATCTGTGGCGCTCTTCTGAAGATTTATTGGTATTTACCAAAAATATTCAAGAAGTCAAGGCTTTTGTGCTACTGCCTAATGCAAATCATCCATCAGAATCCAGACAACTGTTCGCAATTGAGAAAGAGTCTGAGAGCGGTCGTGATATCATGGCAGAATTCAAGCAGAGTGGAGGAAATGTCAAAAAACTGAATCAAATCACACCTTTGGTCAAACGAGAATGTGTTGTGCGAAGCATAACTTCCTATGGAAAGAAATATCTGCAGATTCACGAGAAGCCGAGAAAACAGGTGCTGATGTCAGTTACAAGTGTAGGAAGAACGTCAGCACACAAAATGTGGAAAAGTCCACAAGGAAAAAAGTCGGGATTGGCTCCTGTAGGTGGTGTGGCAGTAAAGTTACCGTTGTCTGGGAATGTAGATGGTAAACTCTACAGTGGCTTGCCTCTCTCAGTACCACAAAGTCACCTACCTTGCCATTGTAACGGATTCTTTGCCATTTCCGCAGACCGTCGAAATCTCTGGAAACCCTCGAGCGACTCAGATTCAAACTACTTCACAAGATGGAATGATGCTGTTTTCGAAGATATCATATCAGAGGCCTACGTGACTCTGCTGGCAAATCAAGAATTTCAGTGTCAGGTAGCACGAATGCCGAAAAAAGTACGCATTTCTGGCGTAAATAGTTCCCCGGACAACTTCTACCGGTTGTGGCCTGATGGATCTAACATTACCCCAGGCAGTGATGGCTATGCTATGCTAAAGGGATTCTACAACATATTGGTAGCCTCTGATTCACATGATGCAAATATATTCTGGGAAGGAGAGAGGACGTGGTCATTCAAAGAGGCCATCTTTATTGATCCACTACTACTGGAATCACCACACGTTGCTTCAGCAGTAAAGAAGGTCCTTCAGATGCAACACACGAAGCGAATAGTTACCGAGATTCCAAAGGAGATACGATCTACTCTAGAAAAGCTGGGATTTGGGGAGGAATTGAAGAGACAAACGTGTTTGGAGCACGCATTCTTCCAGAAAGATTTTCTGCCAAAGATATCTGTCTTCCAATCCGAGGTACGAGATCATCTGATTCACTACTGTTTGTCGGACGTTGAATTACGGGAGAAATTGAGAACCATCGCCTGTATTCCAACTTCACCAGATGGAAAGAACTTGAAGAGGCCAGCGGAATTGATACACCCGACTGGAAGAGCAAGTATCCTTTTTGCAGAGGAAGATAGACGGTTCCCTTACGGAAGCTTTGCCAATTTGGACTGCTTTCATTTTCTGGTGCATTTAGGAATGGTACAAGATGACATATCTGGCATTGATTTCATCAAATGTGTACATAAATTACAGGGCAAACCTATTAACTATAGGCATGATCGCGTACTAGTCGAGTACCTCACTTACAGACTGAAGAAAGAGAATTCTTCATGGGCTAAGGACGTAAGCCTTCGGAATCAACTGAACAACATAGCCTTCATTCCTGTCACCTACAGGAATTCTCATATGAGAAAAGCTTCACGTGATACCATATATGTGTCTGAAAAACTGTCACTGGTCAGCGAAGTTGCCCCAGTTCTAGACGAAAGTAAATTCCGGGTTTCCTATCAGGTTCAGAGATTTCTTGGAATAGTCCAAGATCCAGCAGTGGATGTTGTATTGCAACAACTTCAAGCCATCAGCAGGAGACCAGAAAATGTTGAAAAACTTCCCAGTGTTTGCCAAGATATCTATAGATTCCTTGACTTACGAGTGAAGAAAGGAAATGACAAAGCCCAGATTCAAGAATTCTTCCACTCACCTACAACAAAGGAGTGTCTATTGGTTGATAAAATGTTCAGGAGTGCTGATCATCTGGCATTGGAATTTGAGGAAGAGTATGTTGGATCCCACCTGTTTCGTGTCCCCTCCAATTTGCGCGGCTTCGGTGCCCTCTTGTCAACCATCGATATGAAAAGACGATTCTCAACACGTGACTTCTTGTCCACTCTGAAGTGCATCCATGACTCAACTTCCGGAAAGCTGAAAAAAAGGGAGTTTGGAGAAGTTATGAAACTCCTGAAATGTCTGATCAATGCTCCATCGGAAGATTCGTTGGCAATGCACGAAGTGCCTCCAAACGATATCTATGTTCCCGATATCAACCGTTTCCTGAGAACCGCTGATGAGCTTTCTTTCTGCGACGTAGACTGGATTTCAGTTCCAGATGATGTCATAACAGCTCACGGTGATATTCCTCTTACTATGGCGAAGATACTTGGAGTGCGGGATATTCGACAACACATCATCGAAAGCTACTCCGTGGATGTCCCTGGCCTTGGCCCACACACACTCGAAGCACAGAATCTGTTGCAGTTTGGACAGCGTGAACCCCTGACAGAGAGAATAAAAAATATTCTCAAGGGCTACCCTTGCGATGATACAATACTGAAAGAACTTGTGCAGAATGCGGATGATTCCTGTGCCACGGAAGTGCACTTAGTTCTTGATGTCCGTACCCATCCGAAAGACCGCCTCTTTAGAGATGAAATGTCCCATTTGCAAGGTCCTGCTCTCTGTGTATACAATAACAAATCATTTACTGATGATGACATAGAGGGAATCCAACGACTTGGAGTGGGTAGCAAAAGGAACCTGTCCTCAAAGGTTGGAAGATTCGGTGTAGGCTTCAACGCGGTTTATCACCTAACCGACTGCCCAAGCTTCTACACAAACGGCGATACGCTGGGAATGTTTGATCCAAATGTCAAGTATGTACCTAAAGCTACTAAAGCGTATCCAGGCTTCATGGCCAAACCAACTGGCAAACTGAAGGACGATTTCCCCAACGTTTTCAACTGCTACCTGCCCGAGTTCTTCGAAGGACAGGGTTCAACTATGTTCCGATTGCCCTTACGCACAAAATCCATGGCAAAGGTATCTCACATATCTTCGGAGGCACATGATGTTAAAAGCGTAAAGGGACTGATGCGGAAATTCAAGGAAGGTCTACCTGACCTGCTCCTTTTCCTTAAACATGTTAAAAAGGTCAGCATATCCACCATTGATAAACATGGAAACATGAAGGATATCTCAAGCGTCCAGGCAAGCATCTCAGAATCCAACCAACTAGATTTAGATGCATTTCTCTCTACAACATCGGCTGAAGAAACTGATCCAGTGACTGGGGTCTCAAAGTCCCTTGAAGACATTCCAGTAACAGAAGTACATTATGATATGAGAGTCACTGTAACAGAACAACGAGCGAAGTGCGAGAACACGCAATCAGAGGACTGGCTAATTTATCAGCAGCATGGTTTTGCAAAACCAAACGAAGTCCCTGATACTGTGTTGGATGCATATAATAGTGGAAATCTGCATGTCTTGCCACAGGGCGGAGTCGCGCTACCTTTGGGTAAACGACTAATTCCATTGAAAGCATACAGTTTCCTTCCCCTTCCTATAGACACTGGTCTCCCTGTCCATGTCAATGGCTCTATTGAGTTAGATGAACGAAGGCGGGACATTTGGAGAGATAAAGGAGACGCCCGGGCACAGTGGAATCGTCAACTCATGAAGCATATCGTTTCACCTGCATATGTCAAGGCACTTTGTTGTCTTCAGGCTAAAATCGTGACTCGGATCGAAGAATCAAACGACGAATCTGAAATGCAAGACATTGTATCGTCATATACGGCGTTTCTTCCTGTTACAGCAGAGAACAGCTTCTGGAAAGAACTCATAGAAGACATTTACAGAACCATTGCCGACTCCGCCAAGCCAATATTCCCTTCCATTAGGCGAAGTGTATCGTACAACAGAGATTTTGATGGCACCGATGGAGTCAACAACATAAGAACTCTAGAATGGAGGACACCACTTGCAGAATCACAAGTACAAGGCTTCTTCGACTCTCCAATCAGAATGGATCTGAGCCTTAGGTCGGTTGTGTCAGATCTTGGATTTCCTCTAATTGAATGCTCCCATAATGTGCATACAAGATTTTCAGACAGCTTGCAAGATTGCCGAAAAGGGGATATTCTTGAAATCACCCCTGCTCGCTTGATCAGTCATCTCTCCAGCAATGCAGTAGAAGATGTAGGATTATCTCCAATGGAACTGCCGAAGCAACTTTCCGACACGGTTATACAGGATACACCCACTTTACGAGTCATTTTGAGCTACTGCTCACAATGTGATAACTTCAAGGAAAATGTTGAGGCTCTTCCTCTTCTAGTAACATCAGATGGAATTCTAAGAACGTTCTCAACTGAAACTCCGGTATACATTACCAGATTTGACTACCTCTTTCCATCCAGTAAAAGCAAATTCCTGAGTAGATCAATAAGGAAATACTTCAATGAGGATTTTGATGTGATCTGCCATTTTGATATTCCATGTGTTGCTTCTTTGATGAGGGAGGAACTATGTCCTATCAAATTCGAATGCAACCAATACGTTCGATGGGACAAGTTGGAACCGACAGAGAGGTGGATCACCGGACTATGGGAATGTCTGGCTACATGCAGAGATCCTGATGAGTTAACGTGTCTTTCGAAGTGGAGCATTCTTCCATGCCGCAAGAATGGAGATATGGGTGTAACCCACCACCTGGTACCATTTTCAAAAGCTACTTCTGTGATGTATAAGCTAAGTGGTATGTCTCAGATACTTGCGGCTTTGAGTTCACTTGGGGTTTCTGAAGTTGATTGGAGTCTAAACTTTAAGGAAGCAGAACAACTTATCACTAAGATTGTCGCGCACGAGGATCGACCTGATGCAGTGCTTGCAGTGTTCAACCACGTCATTCAAACAAATGCCAGTCTGTTCGATAGGTTGACAACCGCCCAGCGTGACCATATCTTGCAATACTTGACAACCCATATGCCAGAGAGACTGGTGGAAAATGGCGACAACAGAAGGATCATTATGAATCTTCCTTGCTATGAACAGTTAGACGGGACATATGTTTCACTTTCACACACGTCCACTGTCTATGTGGTAAGAGCAGATCTACCTCGTGAAGAGATGGAAAGTGGATGGCTGAATTCAATGATATTTTCCTACGTGAAAATGTCGGCTTGAAAGAGCTTTTCAAGGCAATTGGGTGTGTTTTCGTATCTGAGTGCGACACCATGTCCAAGTTCATCTTTCCCAACTTTCACTTGTTGTCCTCAGAGATACGGCTAAAACATCTTGACAACCTCTCGAGACACAGATGCCAAATAGAAGGAGGGGTGGAGAAGTGTATGAAACTCGGAGACTTTCCTTTACTGGAAGGCAATGACGGTGAATTGAGATTTGGCAGAGAATTCTTCGACCGAGGAAACAAAGTGTTCGCAAAAATGCTCACAGGAAGTAAATTTCCCTCAGAAAAAATCATCGAGAGGCTTCAACCTTCCTTCTTGCATAAATTTGGTGTTCAAGCAGAGGTTAAAGCAGAAATGTTTCTTGAATTCGCAAAGGAACTGTCAACAAATCTTGGGAAGAAAAGAAGAGAAAGAAAAAAGCTAGCCGAGCAATCAGAAACTCTTGTGAAAGAACTGTTTCAGAACTGCAACCTTCACAAGAATGACTCATTTCTTAACAGTGTCAAAGTCATTGACTTCATCATCCCCGATGCCCCAGAAATGAGTTTAAAGAAACTAAATCCCTATCATATGGATGTGAATTTGGGAGTAAGATTCGACTCATCAAGTTTGCCGGAGAATGCTTATCTTGTGTGGTGCTCAATGAGGCTCCTACCGGAATACCTTAGCAGCATGACCCTCACCTGCTGTCAAGGGAAGGATTCCATCCTAGAAAAGCTTGGTGTGGTGAAGAAACCAATCATTGAAAGCGTCATTGAGAATACGAGCAAGATGTGTTGTAGGGTTCGTGATCAAGGGAGACAGACTGACTTTAAGGTATTGGCCAAAGTCATGGACAAGACCTACAGATTCTTGGATTCAGCTTGTGAACGTCATAAGGTTCAGCGTTGCAGTGATATCACGGATAGATGCAGATGTTGTCAATTGGTGAGCGAAAAGCTGTCGGACGTACCTTGTGTGGTCATTCAAAGTGTCCCCCCTCTGGTCAGACCTACCCTAGTATGCCGAGAGTTACGCGGAGACCTCTTCCAGCCCCATCTTTACCAGCTGCCTGACAGTTTGATCCATTGCAGCAAGTTGCTGTACAGTCTTGGATCCACACGGACTCCATCATTTCCTCAGTTAGCCACAGTACTTAATGGACTTGCAAGTCACAGTGTGAAAGAAATGAAAATCCCAATATGCTCAAGGCCACTATAGCTGCATCTCAGTTGTTCCTTCAGCAAATTGAGTCCTTGACATCAGCCAAACTAAATAAAGCGTCCTTACAGGCTGATTTGGAAGGTATTCAGATTGTGCATCTTCCTGCTTCATCAAAGGGGAAACTGTTGCCCTCGACAGAAATCTTCATCAAAGATGAAACTGATCATACCAAACGCCTTATAGAATCCAATGTACCGTTTCTGCCAGATGAAGTTACAAAGCTGCTCACAGATGTCCATACAATGGTGGACTCCATGCCAAAACATCTAAAGCCAAGATCTGTCAAGGCTTGTGTGACCGAGAGAGTCGACACATCAGCAAGGCCTTGTCTGTATAAGGAGGTTGGTCAGTGTAAATTTGGTACCAGACTAAATAGCCTTATGACTTCAAAGGAATTTGCTGAAGCAATACAGCGTTTGCTTGAAGTAGGGAGTGATACCGACGTCAATGCCGATCACCGAAGTATCGACAAGCTTAAGAGGCTAAGACTACAGTGCATGGCTGAGTTACCCACCTCCTTGTTCATTGATGGTGAGAGGATTGAAGGTAGTGAAGCAAAATCACCTTCCTGCATGAGTTATGACGACGTTGATGCAGAAAAGGCATGTATAAGAGTTGTGCATACCGAGAACAATGAGCGTTCAGCATACATGAAAGTCGTAAAGGGTGTTGCCCAAGCCATATTACGACACGTAGGTGGCATTGGTCAGGAGCATCTTCCTTTCCTAGTGGACATGTTGTCGGCGGATTCCTCACGTGAGATTCCCAAACTCCTGCGTAGTTACAAGCTGATTAGAACAGACGGACGAGCTGCCGAGCATGATGAAGGAATGGCTCCACCAAAGCTAGGTTCCAGAATTCCAAGGGATATATTGCATCTTCTGGAGCAAGATCCCTACCTCGGATTCATCAAAGGGGAATACGTGGCGTATCAGATCAACACTGACAATGAAATTGAAAATGAAAAACATTGTATCCCCATCCATGTATATGCCCAAGTACTAGATGTTCCTGAAAATCTCCTATCTCCTCTCCGCAACAAATACCTTATCGACATAGGAGAGGAAGATCCTGTGTGGGTTAGTGGGTTGGACCTATTCAAATTCTTGATGCCGGAAGAGTCTGTGGACACTGGTATGGCAATAACGGTGTACTGTCATTCATCTGATGGACAAGGACCAGAGGGCCCAGCTACATCAGAGACTCCACCTACGACAGAAGTTCCACCCAAACCACAGCCTTATCCCGAAAACATTGAGGAAGCAAAAGAACAGGTTACTGATCAACTGGAAGAAATATGGGAACTTGATGAAGGCGAACGAAAGAAGGCAGTCAGACGAATGTACTTGAGATGGCATCCAGACAAACATCCTCAAGAAAGAAAACACCTTGCTACTGAAGTCTTCAAGCATTTGCAAAATGAAATTGCTCGCCTAAAAGCAGGAAAAAGACGCACTAGGCAGACTGGAAAAGGTCAGGGATCTTCAAATAGTCCAAGAGGTGGTGGCGATTTCTTCGACGATGATTTTGACGAATTTATGAGAAACTGGGCAAGGCAGGAAGGAAGGAGGAGAGAATCTTACCACAGGAGCTACAGAGATCGGGGATATTTTGGGAATGCAAGATCAAGGCATTGTCCTCCTTCATTTGACGATACACCAGAACCCGATATGCCAAGAGCCTCAACTTGGTTTAAACAAGCTAAATCAGACTTGGCAGCATCCTCTTATGATGTTGGAAAAGAAGCAAACGAATGGGTGTGCTTCAAGTCTTACCATGCAGCTGAGAAGGCCTTGAAAGCAGCTCAGTTTGCCTCACGTGGGACTTGTAACCCCTCGCACAACCTGGATGTCCTCGTGACTGATTTGATGGGTCACTTCCGTAACCAGACCGTCACTGACCGCGCTCGTCAACTGAACATACTGGTCGATGTGAACGACTGTATGTATCCAGGGGCAAGTATCTTTCGACACAGAGTCCCATGTGAACGGTTCTCCCAGTCCGATGCAGAGAGAGCCAGGCAATGTGCTAGTGACATCGTAGAAGAAATCCGAAAGCATTTTAAATTCTAGGTTTTCAGCGGTCTTCATTCAATCTTTGTTGCTTGCGTTGTACTGTGTACTAAACATATTCTTGGTAAACATAAGCACTTTACGGTCATGAAGGAAATGGTTCCCATCTCAAACACCAATTCTTGTGAGAATAATGATGCAATTTAAAGAGCAACTCGTCGACTAATATGGAGTACCAGAAAAGTTATTACAAGCAAATGGTTCTTGATTAAACAGAGCGAGACAATAGGGCAAATAGATGAGGGGCTACTTTGGTTATATTTGTGACGACGTAGGCTTGTATATAATAATAATATAATTCAAATTGCTCCACAAACAGGATTATTTCTTATCATATCCTACTAAATTCCCTGGATTTTGATATTCCTTTGCTGTTCATAATCATTTACAGGTCCATTGCCTTGTAATAAAACAATTTCCATCAGATAACAACTCTTAGCACATGGATACGATGTACAATAATGTGATATTCCACGGAATATTACCAATGTTGCTATATCTTCGAAAACCATCAATATAATCGTTTTATCCTGCTTCAACTTGAGATCTCAAGCATATGACCTCGTTTTCAATAGACTTAAATTAACCGAAAGAGGATCATTGCAAAACTAGTTCCGTTTACCTCCTGATGTCGTTGATGTTTACTCCCAGAAGGAGAATTCTCAAATAATTATATAATCGACTCCTGAACAAGATTGGCAGATATTGTGATTACTATTTTTATTTGTTTTGATTTACTAATCAATGATAAACACTTTGGACCCATATGTTTATTTTGTCATGTTATATTTGTCAGCATGTGTTGAATTAGTTGTGATCAACTGACAAACCAATAATAAATTTGAATCATGTTCATTGTATTAGATGTGCTTATAAGGAAGGTAAAGTTATACATGTATATATATCAACAAGTTTGTTAATACTTCAGTTTCTCACATCATAAATGGTTGCAATGGAAGTGTTTTTCATTTATTTAAATAAATAATTATTCGGATGAAATCGATGTTCGATGCACTGTATCGACCTAAAATGGATTTATGCTTTAGAATGTTGTTTAATTGTTGTATGATATGATGTAATCAACCTGTACATAATTAATACTTCCATGAAAATAGACATTATATTGTATATAATAGAATCGTTTAATAGGCCTAATTAGTCATAAAACTATGGATGCTTAATACGTGCATGTCTTGAAAGATTAAATCAGTCAGAATAATTATATCAGCAAGATTATCCACACACACACATTATGTATATAATTTATACAATATTGTACTTTCTGTTATATCACGCTCTGATAGATAATGAAGAGAACACTGATACTGTGATATTGACGTTGTAAATGTTGTCAGTGTAGCGCGTGCTTAAATTCTTCTTGAACTTTTACGTCATCAATAAGTACCTGGTGGGTATAATGCCGATCGGATGTGTTTTTTGTAAATATTGTCTTGGATGGCACTATTTATAAATTATGACAAGATGAAAGCTCTGTTTAAAGTCATATCATAGAGGTATCGGTAACTTACTGTAATAATATTATGCATCATTGATTTTGTATATTATTGACATTGGATGTGCGTTGGAAGTTGTAGAGACACTTTTTAAACGTTTATTATACCTTCAAACTGTAGATAATGGTACATGTATAATAATCAGTTTCTTGCGCAGTATCGTAGATGGTATGGTATAAGTTTGTATATGTGGTAGAGACATACCAGTTTATATGTTTAT